GTTATTAAGATATATAAGCTATGATTATTAAAAAATTATGATGATCTATTAATTTATTGTAATTTTAGAATCATTCGAATTTAATTTTTGATGTTTCAAAATGTTCAAAAAGTTTGAACAGTATTTGTTATTATTATTATTATACTATGTATATTTGTAAAAATAAAAGTATTATATTAATATGTATGCTATTATAATATTTATTTTAAAGACCCAAAACTTAACTAAATACTAACCTAAAAAATAAATCTGCACCTACTATAAATTATAAATAGTTGAGTCTAATTCAATTTTTTGAGCGGAGCGATGAATGTATTGATTTTACAATGATGTTTGTTTTTTATTTATTTATTTTTTTGTGTCTGTGTAAATGATAAGTTATCGAAATAATGCTATGATGTTCAACTTTAGTAGCTTTTCCGGTTAGGAAGTGAATCTAGTTGGTGCGTCGAGAAAGTCAAAATTTCCAGTAGTTTTCAAAAGCGCGACGGGTAAAACAAAAAATAAGTTTTTATAGACATTTAAAGTTTGAATTTTAAGAAAATACGTTAAAATCATGAAATTTTTTAAATTATTTTGTATTAAAAATTCATATAAATTTATGTTTTTAAGTCTATGATTTGAAAATTCAATACAAGACTCTTTATGAGCTTGTCTAATTTTTAATAAAAACGTCTACTAGAAACCAAATCCATCTACACTACCTCTGCTCTTCGCCACGGAATYTGTCCAACAGTMTATCTTAATAATCATCCGCTTTCTCCTGTCCAGTGTATACGATACCTCGGTATTGTTATATTGACCGCCGTCTCACCTGGAAACCTCACATTATAAGCAAAACCCGTTCACTTAATGACCGCTTCCGACTCCTCCGACCACTTCTAACATMTAAGCATATGAAGCTTTCCAATAAGCTCCAATTCTAAAAACTCCTTCTCAGGCCCATCTAGACTTATGGAATCCAATTATAGGGCGCTTTCAACACTTTCAACATCAACCACATTCAAAGATTCCAATCTAAAACCCTACGTCCAGTTCTAAAAGTGCCATTTTATGGTCTCTAACAACACCCACCACTCTGATCTCAAAATGCCTTTGGCTATGTAAAATCAAAAACCTATTACAATCGTTTCAATAGCCGCCTAGCACACCATTAGAACCCGCTAATACCCAAACTTTCATCTGATTCTACTAAGGGCAACCCGATTAAAAGACTTAAAAGACAGTGGTGTCGTGACCTGCTAGCCGAACAAAATTCTTTCCTATGTCGTTGTACCTCCACTGGGAGGCTTCTGTAATCTATCTAATCTATCTTTTTATTTATTTTAGCTTTAACATCAATTGTTCTTTTAGATTCTGAACGAAGTGATGAATRTATTGATTTTACAATGATGTGTGTTTTTTTTTTTAGTGTGTGTACAGCATAACWAGTCGAAATAWTGCTTCAATTTCAAACTTTGGGGGTGGTTTCCGATGTAAAAGTAAATATCCTTGGTGCATTATAGAGGTCAAAAGTAAACATGACAGAAAAACTGGAATTTTTACGCAAAACCAGTTTTCGACCAAATCGATTTTTTATATGGTTGTAATTCAAAAACTAATCACTGTAAATACTTGAAATTTTCACCAAATGTTAATGTTATCTATTTACGGTTTAATTTTGAAAAATTGTTGAC